ACACTGGAAAATCTCAAGCAAACACACTGAAACAATGTATATTATAAAATGTGTTAGTTGAAGTATTCTTTCCAGTCTATGCACAGAAGAGATTTCTCAGAGAAAGTATGGAATTATGTGTTGCAACTCAGACCACAGATCAGCTATTTAGTTAAATTTCCAGGAAAGTAACCCACAAGCTCCAAGTGAAAGTGGGTCCTGGAGCATGCACAGCTTGGAGATGATATTCCAGGCTTGAGCAGCTTGACATTCCAGGCATTACATGAGCAGCTCAGCCAAGCAGGCAATTTCCAGTGCCAACAATATGGGAGATTAAAAAGCAGAGGTGGTTTTGGAGTCATGATTTGAGGAGTGCACCAAAGCAGGACATGTGTCTTCATGCTTGTCCTGCAACACACCTGATTTATATGCAGGTAGGGATTAAATAACAGAAACTAAAATCATGAAACAGCTGAGGAGAAAGGGAAGCTGCAGTGCATAGTGAGCCTGACATGTCTTATGACATAACCTAGGAGAGATGCTCCAGTCTTCTGATCATTTTCTTGACCCTCTTCTGGACCAGTTTCAACAGGTCCACGCATTTAGAAACAACTCCCCCAAATAATTTTTGGCTGTTTAAAGTGTTATCTGTTAACATCTCCTGAACATGCTGGGAAATTAGCACATGTTCAAAGTCATCCTTATGATGTCATTAGAAAGATTCCCTGGCTTCGTGGTCTTCTGTTCAGTCCTACCATAACACATATTCTGTAGTTCGTTTTTTCCTGATTCTCCAAAACTGGATTTTCAAATTCAAAAATACAGTAAGAGAACAAATTAGATTAAAAAAAAATAAAAGGAAAATATGAAGTATGAAAAGAGGAGAAAGGTCAATTAAGAAAAAAAGAAGGGAGGGAAATGAGCAGGTTGGCACCATTCTTAAGCTTTGTAAACTGACTATTCAGCCTCTCTTCCCTTAATTTTCCAAGTTACCCTGAAAAAGTTTAGCAAAATAGAAATCTCACTTCATGATATTGCATGACTGGGCAATAAGAGGACAGATGAAACCGAACATAAATTTATACAGAGTAATTCAAGTGCTGGAAAAAAATACACCAACTGTAGATCCAGTGATGGGTTCTGAGCAAGGTATTACCATACAGGAAAGAGTTGATAGAATTATTTAAAGAATATTCTATGACAATGCCATCTCATTGTTCAGTCATAGTTAGAAATGAAAACAGAATAATCCACAACACCAGAAAGGAAAAGGGAACTAGGAAATCTCATTCTGCCAGGGAATAAATCTGTGGTGTTCTCAGATCGTGTGCAGTTCTGGTCTCATCATTTTTAAAAGGATACAAAGAGGTACAAAGAGTGACATAGGTGATCAAAGGCATTTAAGGACTTCTGAACAGCCTTCAGCCTTAAAAATATCTTAAGGGCAGACATGGGACGAGCCTATAAATTCTTAAGCAGAAAGAAGATGAAAATCACTTGCCTCTTCCAGTATTAGGAAATACCAAATGAAACGAGTAGGTGACAGGTTCAAACTAAGCACAGTCCACCCCTGTCACACTGTGGAACTCTGTGTCTGCACTCAAAATCTGCACAGATCCAAAAGGCAATTAAGAGAAGAAATATCTGTGTATTAAATACAAGGCAATGCTGTGGCTGCAGGAGCCCGTGGGCTGCCTACCAGAGAAAGCTGAGAAAATAAGTATATCCAGTTATCACCAGCATTTCATCTCCTCCACAGAGTTAAACCTGGCCTTAGTAAAACCCCAAGTCCCTCCCTGAGAAGGGGAGAGGGGATTTAGCAGAGAGGAAACATGAGAGGAAACAACTAATTACCGAAAAGAACAAATTGAAGCAAAATCAAGCAGAGGGATTTAGGGGTCAGAAGAGAAAAAAAATATGAAGCTGTGTGAGTGAAGGGCAGACAAAGCACCGGGCAAAGACAATACCAGGATCATGAGCTGTGTCATCTGAGATGGTCCAGGCCTTCCTGTGTGCCCACATACAGTCAAAAAAAAAAAAAAAGAGAGAACATATTTCAGGGGGTGACTCAGCGAGCCAACGTGCCTCTATTAGCACAACACTTCAGCATGTGCTTGGTGTAACCATAAGGTCCATGGAAGTTAATGATGTTAATGTAAGATAAATTTTCCATCAGACGGGCACAGGAATTTTATGTAAAGCAGAAAGATAAAATCTGAACTCGCTGAAGGGCAAGTTGATCTGCAAAGATGAAACAGAGAGAGACCGCAGTGGCACAGACCTAATGGGGCATGACAAACCAGAAAATTAAGATGTGAGAATCAATGCTACACGTAAAAACATGGAGCAAAAGCAGGAGCAGGGAATGTATCTGCTGCTTGAGAGGAAGATGAGATCGAGGGAAGCTGGACCATACAAATATTCCGGTGTCTATCCCAAGTTTTAATCCAATGACAGCAGAAGACATGGGTTTGACAGAGAACAAAATAAGTGGAAAGGGAGCCCTGTGCCATGGGCATGAAAGGATGGACAGGGAAATTTGGCAGCAGCAAGTAAGAATGACAGTGGATGTGAAAGTCAATGCCAGATGTGTCACTTGCTTTCTCTAGAAACCAGGAAAGTATTAAGTCAAGGAGGAAGGAGAAGGCTGGGTAGGCTGTGGGAGCTGCAAAATAGTGGAAGATACTGGAAGTAGCCCTTTAGAAAAACCTAAACTGTTGGACATCAGTGCCTTTCACAACAAAATGGACAACCAGCAAAATGGACAACAAGCAAAAAACTTCTAAAATTCCTTCTCAAAGGGAACACTTTTAACCATTCTACCATTTACTGTAGATTTTGTAAACACTCAAGATATTCAAGAGTTGATAAATTGTCCATTTAAAAGAAATAAAAATTTGTAAAAAATTAAGTTAAATCTTTCCTTTTTTTTTTTCTTTTTTTAATTGCCAAGAAACTAAAAAAAAACCTTCAACTTGCTACATTTCTATATCTCAAAGATGCTCTTGCAAAAATTTAGCTCAAACCACCAAGATCACCTTTTCCCAAACTTCACACTACCAGGAAATTGGAAGCATGCCTGAAAAGTCAGAAAATTAAGCCTTTTTTTTTTTTGGGAATGAAAATGATGAAGAGACCATGCACAGAAGCTGTGCAGCAAGTACTGTGGGTAGCCCCCATCCTTGCCAGCAATATCCCCAAGCACTTCTCTTCCCACACCAGCAGATAAATAAAATGGGTATTATTTAGAAGGATAACCATATGGTTTGTGTAATTTGTACGTGCTATTTTCAGGACATTATTATAAGATATGGTAGAGACCTACACAACAGGGTCAGAACTTGCTTTCTGTTTTATAACCACCCCGTTCCATTTGGGTGCAGAGACAAGGGGTGATGGCACTATCTCAATATATTACTTCCACACACTGTTCCCACCTTAATACTTGCAGAATAACGCAATTATTCCATGTGGGGCATATTATTGGGTTGCTGAGCTCAAATAAATATTTATCAGCCTCGCTGATAATTATTTGCTAGTAAATACTTGTTTAAATTGTGAAGTCCTGACTTCTTTTTTAAATATATATATATATATTTCATTTCAGCCTACATACATCTGTCTGCTTTGTGCCTTCCCAGGGCGGAATGCT